CAACCTGCCGCTTCCCCAGCGCCAGGCGCGACTGTTTTGTTGTGATTCGGTGCATAACGACTGAGGATAAAGTTTAAATGTGCGCGTGTGTATGTGCGTGACGTGGGTAATACGCTTTATTAAAAGATGCCCCGAGTTCGCGTTGCTGGGAAGACAGCCTGGGAGTTTGTGCTTTTTGTGTGTGTGTGTGTGTGTGTGTGTGTGTGTGTGTGTGTGTGCGCGCGCTTTCCTCCTCCTAATTTTAATAAAGTGCTTAGTGGGAGAAAAAAAGGTTGGAGGGGCTGCTGCTTTACTAGTTTTTGTTTACTTACAATCAAGTTTTTCCTGTTCAAAGCAGGTGCGAAAGGCTAAGAAGCATGTTGTGTTGTGGGGTTTTTTTTTCCCTTTCTTCACCCCCCCCTTAATAAAACTATTACAGACAATTAACAGTAAACGTTATCTCCAAGGCTGTTTCTTTGGCTTGCGTTACCAAAAAGCCGATCTGTTTGCTACAGCTGCTAGGAGGCTTTAGTTTACAGTAGCATTCAAGTTTTTCCTGTTTTGAACAGGTTATGAAGGAAGAATGGAGTTTCCAGACCATAGCCGCCAGTTGCTGCAGTGTCTGAGTCAGCAGCGTCACCAGGGCTTCCTGTGTGACTGTACTGTTTTAGTTGGAGAAGCTCAATTCAGAGCTCACAGAGCCGTTCTTGCCTCTTGCAGTATGTACTTCCATCTTTTCTACAGGGACCAGTTAGACAAAAGGGATATTGTGCATCTGAACAGTGACATTGTCACAGCCCCTGCCTTCAGCCTGCTGCTCGAATTCATGTACGAGGGAAAGCTGGAATTCAACAGTCTCCCGGTCGAAGATGTGCTGGCTGCGGCTAGCTACCTTCACATGTATGACATTGTGAAAGTCTGCAAGGGCAAGTTGAAAGATAAAGAATTATGTTCGGAAGAGAAGATTAATGATGAGGCGGCTAGTTTGGAGAAAGCGGAGCATTTTCTAGACGCCGGGGTGCCCCTGGTCCACGAGTTTGACCCAGGAAACAAACAAAAATTCAGCGTTGCAGAATACGAGAGAGCAGCAGGCAAAGAAAAGGTCAGCAGTCACCCCGCCTGGTCCTCTGATCATATAAGTGTCAGCTCTGCGCCGACAGAGGCAGAACCGTGCGCCGCAGCAGCTGGAAAAACAAAGGCTAATGTCAATAGTTCCACAGGACCTTTGTCCCAAAGGTCTGTTAACCATCCCCTGGCTTCGAGTGATGTGGACTGCGCGCTGGATTTGTCTTTCAAGCCCGTGCCGGGGAGAGATTCCTTACACCCCTCCTATGTCTTTGGACAGCTGGCTTCCGACAGCCAGCAGCAGGGTACCGAGCCACTTGTTAAAGATGAACAAGACTTGCTGTCAGATCAGGAGGACGGCGAAGCCAGGAGTCCGGAGAGTCAGCATTTTGGGAATTCAGCCAAAAGCCTAGTGACAGGGTTAGGACACATGTTCGCGGGGAATGGCAGCTCTCATGCCCGAGAGGAGGATATAGATCAAGAGCGAGACGAGAGCGAGGACGACATGGATTCGTCAGACATCTCCTCCTCGGGCGTCCTCGTGCCTCCCGGGCATATCTGCATTTGCCCCCTCTGTAGCAAGGTGTTCCCGAGCCCGCACATCCTTCAGCTGCACCTGAGCTCCCACTTCCGCGACAAGGATGGCTCCCGGACCCGCCTGTCCCCCGACGGGTCCGTCCCCACTTGTACCCTCTGCGGAAAGACTTTTTCTTGCATGTACACGTTAAAGAGGCATGAGAGGACTCACTCGGGGGAGAAGCCCTACACCTGCGGCCAGTGTGGAAAGAGCTTCCAGTACTCCCACAACCTCAGCCGCCACGCAGTGGTGCACACCAGGGAGAAACCCCACGGGTGCAAGTGGTGCGAGAGACGGTTCACGCAGTCTGGGGATTTGTACAGACATATCCGCAAATTTCATTGTGGCCTTGTAAAGTCCTTGGTTGTTTGAGACGCGTGTTTTTTGTTTTTTTTTTTTAATTATTTTTTTTGTTTCCCTCCCATCCTTTTAAAACGAAACAGGAAGAAAAGGCAGCATCTGAATTCCACCCCCCCACCCTTTATTTTATTGTGGTGATATTCACTTCAGGTATATGATCTTTAAAAGATGCAGAGGTATACACTCCAGAGGCCTTTTAATGCAGTCCTTCCACCTCCCCATCTCCCCTCTTCCCTGCTGCCCTCCCTTTCCAGCCCTGTCCTTTAGGTCTTCTCTTGCGCACCCATGTTACATTATTAATGTGAAATGATCTAAGTAATTCTGCAATGATTTAGCATCTGTTTTCATGCTGGAGTACTTGTTTTGTGGTCAGGGTTTTTTTTTTTTGTTTGGCTTTTTTGTGTTTTGTTTGTTTGTTTGTTTGTTTAGTTTCAAAAAAGATTATCAGCAAATTCTGGAGAAAAATTTTGATTCCGTTAAGCTCCCCTAATGCTCTCTGTGTATTGCATAGAAACATCCAAGAGTTTGGATGTTTCTAGAGGTGAACTATGATTTAAATACATTTCAGTGTAGAGAAACTTGTCTGCATATCGCAGAGTAAACGGCCGTACTCTTATTTTATAGAGCTAGATGAGACCTTAAATTGGCCCCAATTACAAAGAGGGTTGAGGATTCCTGGCTGCGTCTTTGGTACTCGTCATTTTTTATTCTCTTTACTGTATTAGAGTAGTTCTGCAATAGGTCCTAAAATCTGAATGAGAAGTTTTTGCCTTGGGATTTGACTTAAATTTTCCCTTCCACCCATCCTCCTCCGTGGACTGACCTACTGAAAAGCTGCTTCTGGGCATAAAACGTGGACGGAAAAAACTCCTTCTGTGTGCAGCATATTCACTCCCAAAATATTGAAGGATGCGCACTAGGACGTATGAAAAATCATATGATACATGAATATTTTCATTCCCATATCGACACCCTTGGGTGGGGAGAGCAGCCCGAAAGCAGCTAAGTAACCCCTCTCGATACCCGGCTCCTGGGGTGTGTTAGTTCAAGGTACCTCATACCATGTGTGTTAGGAGATGCCCTGCTATCTTGTCCGAAAAAGTTGCTGCTACGGCAAAAGCAGCAGCTCAGGATTTTATATTATTTTATTTTTTATGAAGTTGGCGAGTCCCTCTGGGCCAAATTCTGTGCAGTTGTCGGTATTTTGAAGGGGTAGCGTGAAGATAAACCGCTGGAAGCAAAACACGGCCCAACTTTTTCCCCCGTGTCGCACCCTTTTCAGGGGAGGTTTTGGTTTGGGTTTGTTTTTGTAGTTTGTATACTGAGGCTGCCTGTAACTGTAACCAGTTGTACTCCAAATAACTCAATTACTTGCCTAATAGAGCATCCTTTGGTCTGTGCATGTCAGTAAATATCAGATTATTCCCTTCCAGTCAAATTACCCGTTCAAGGTACATGTACGCAGGACTGAAGGACAATAATAATAGTATCTGAGGGTTTTGAATGTCGTTCTGCTGCGTTAGCGTTGCTTCACCAGCTTTCCTGACACTCCTGGAGTTCTTCTGTGAAACTTGAGCGTTTATTTTAAAAGGAATTTGAAGCACTGAGTTAGATTGTTTTAAAAAGTTGTGCTTAAATTACTGTATTTCATCTTATGAAGAAAAAACTTCCCCATGCCTTCCCCTTCTGGTCCAAAAACTGAGCACTACCTACACTAATAATATGGGATTTTTTTTTGTTGGTTTTTTTTTTAATAAGTACTTCTTTTAAAGAAAATCGGGATATACTTGTTAACAGCCTCCTGTTATTATTCATCTCTTAAACTATGAATGTACATGTAATGTGAAATTTTGCTTCTATTTATAGTTTTGGGTTTTGTTGTTTTCAGTCTAACTTCTCAACTGTAAAATATTTTTGCTGAACCTGTTACATATGAAAGTTGTGGGAGAGTACTGTATCTTGAACATAAGTGGCTTTGGTACTGTGGTCTTATTCTACTTAATTAGCTTTTTTCTTCTTTTTTTATTTCCTTTTTGCTGTGATTGGAAATAGCACTGAACAAAATCTACTAAAATTAAGTTATTTTTCTTTCTACTAAAATTAAGTTATTTTTTTTCTCCTGAAGATACTTGATATAGTATTTATTAGATTTTTTTTGAAGTGGAATTATTACTGTTAATCTATTTCAAAACTAGTTAATTTACACTTCACTTTAAATTTTATAACGATGGGTTTTGCATGTTGAACAACATGTAAAGAGTTTAATGTAGAGTCAGCATTACTGAAGCTGGTAATCTTAATTTTGCGTTCTTGTGACACTTTTTTTGCATTTCAGTCTTCAATTACTTTTTTTTTTTTTAGAAGATCATAAAATAGGATGTGCCATATGAACGTCATTAGCGTATGGAGCAGGGAAAAGTTGAAACAAGTTTGTGTCTGATCTTAGTGTAGAAATAATTCATTAAGCTGATGCTATGAGCATGCTCTGTACTGCAGTGAATATGGGGCAAAAGTTTAAAAAAAAAAAGAAAAAAACAAGAAAAAAAGACTTTCTCATTCTTTACTACATCATGAACACGTTGTTCTCGTAGTCTGGTATTTGTGTTCCCACTCCTCATAGCTTGAATTTCTAAAGTAAAAAAATGTTTGCACTTATTTTTGTTCTTAAGGTGACTTTTTTTGGCTATCTCTCTGTGTGTCTCACTTATTTTTAAGTTGCAATAGCTCGGAGCATGTTTTCAAAATGGTTCATGGCTCTACAGAGAAGTACTAAAAACATTGCACACTCACGCTTGTCTCTTCATAAACCTTTCACTGTGGGGCAGTTACTGTCTCTGTAGGGGACAGTCCTGCTCCACATTTTAAACACTGGATTTGTCTTCTACTACAAAAAAATACTGTGAAGTTAATGTAGGAAAAAAAAAAAAAGAAATAAAAATCATTGATATTTTTAATTGTTTTTAATCTTGGTGCAGTTCAGATTAAATATGTATATTTAAAGACACTAATTTTTGTGGGAGAGTTTTATAGTATACAGTATGTAGAAAAGCTATTGGAATGGAATATATTTTATAAAAACGTTCTATCACTGTTTTATAGTGAACTATTTTTTCTTCAGTGTTAGCGTAATACTGTTAGTCTAGATACGACAATCGCAGGAAGAGTGATTCAAGCTACTGTTAGCGCTTAGTTTTGCGTGGAGTTCTGTTTGCAACTGTATTGGTATGTGCTGTACAATGTGACAATCGTGACTAGGATTGTTGTCTTTATAAATTTACACAAAATAAAACGTGCTAGAGTTGTAAGCTTGAGCCTCCCCTTTAGCGGAAGGGGTGTGGTGCTTGGGGTTTTTGTTATTATTTATTATTAATGTTTTACAGGTGGTTGTGCTGCACTTTTTGAAATTACTATGTACTCTAATATTTCTTTCTTTTTCAGGGGCACGTGGAATTTTAGGCATGCGAGGAGCT